TTGGGTTGAACAAAGGGTTGCACTCAGAGCAATGGGTCATCTAGCCAGCCATAAAGCATCTTTTGAAGCCATTAAAGCCTATGAAGTAGAAATCATAGAAGCAGCCACGAAGATATCTTCCACGTGCCTGGACAAAGTATATGATGATTTTGTTGGGTTGAAAAAAACAAAGAGATTGAAGTACCATAGGAACCTTTTAACAAGAGGGTTTGGAGGCTTTGAATTGGAAAACAGAAAGGCAGAAGAATGGGCCAGCCAGCTTCAATGTTGGTCTCTCTTTCTCCTACACTGCTTTGCACGCAGAGAAAGATCTCTCGGGCTAATATGTAAGAAGAGATTCTTGAAGGACTTGTGTGGTATGTGGGGGGGACTATCAAACCCCTCTTCACCTTCTGGAATAGGACTTCTGAAAACTCTCTGTCACACACAAATGGGAAGAGAAAGCATAGCGAATTTGCAAAAAGTGGTAGAGAGTTTGTGCCACGTGTCAAGATCCTCAGATGAAAGGCAGCACATGGCTATTGAAAGTCTTATGCAACTTCTCATAGACCCAGTTACAAGGTATAAAGTGATAGACATAGCAGCTCCGGCGCTTGCCGATTTGGTTGAATTAAGAGATATCAAAGGGAAATACAAAGTTGGTAAAAAAATCATGCAGGTTCTCTTACACGACTACCACAAGATCAAGGTTCGCGAGTTGAGTTTGAGTAGTGAAAGAACCAGGAGAAGGTTGGAAGAATTATGGGATATGAAGGTGGAGAGAGTGAAGAGAGAGGAGCTGATGAGTGTGCAGGAAATAAGAGAAAAAGAAGCCTTGTCATGTGTTCTGAAACAAGAAGGAAGCGAGAGATTTTTTACTGGGGAGATTGAAAAGGCCGTGGTGAAATACTCAAAGGCATTAGATTTGTGCCCTTTAAAACTAAGGAAAGAGAGAATTGTGCTTCATGGTAACAGAGCTCAGTGTTATTTGCTTCTTAAAGATGCCGAAGGTGCCATAAGTGATTCCACCAGAGCACTGTGCCTATCAGGTGTTGCGCGTCCTCACAGTAAGAGTTTGTGGAGAAGATCACAAGCTTATGACATGAAAGGCCTTGCTAAGGAGAGCTTGATGGATTGTTTAACGTTCATGAACTCAAAGGGATTCAGTATGCCATACTACGCAGCACGATTTTTGAACAGGCAAATGAATTCCACTTGGCTCTTTGCTTCAGCTCAGTCAAAGTGGTGTAGCAAACACCAAGAAATGAAAGAATTCACTGGGAATTTGGGTCAGAAATCGAGGAGAAAACTGAAAGGTGAGTACTAATTAAAAGTTATGTTGTTTTTCTTTCTGATTTTAGTTGTGCCATGCATGAGTAATGGTTGTGATATTATATGAGTTATTAGAGAGAGAAGTAGGCATTGAAGTGGTGAATGGAAGGCCTTAAGGAAGTGTATTGGTGTTTGCATTGTAGGTATGAGTTGGTATATTGTAGAGGAAGCTCTGAGTAGAAGAAGAAGATGGGAGAGAAGAAAGAGCAGAAGGGTGAGTGAGCGTAGAAAATTAGTTACTGCAAATGTGATGCAACATTGAGGAACGAATTGATTTATATGAAGGTTGTAGCATGGAGGAGATGGAGCGTACTTAATGCGTCTTTTGCATTGCAATGTCCTGTACTTTTGCCTTCATTCACAAGAAAGGGAAGTAAACAAGTGCTTAAATAAATTAATATCAGCTTAATCAATATAATCTTCAATTTCAACTAAATTATGGAAAATGCTTTTCTAACAACTTTTCTTTTATAATATTTTAACAAATGTAGTACCTTATTCATTTCAAATATTTTTCTAAAAATAAATTTAAACGAATTAATAGAATAACCACATGCAACTGTTATCAAAAAATTATTATAAAAATCTCTAAATTATAGTACATACTTAGAATTATTTAATTTTAACACCTTCACTTATTATATTATGTCACTAATTTTTCCACGAGTATTTTGTAGCATAAGGTTGGTTACTAAAACAGATTATGGAGAAACAAAAATACATGTGATGTTAATGCAAAAAAGTACTTCGACCCGATACATTTTTATACACATTTTACATTCATTATTTTATTCTTTAATAATTTCTTTTTATAAATATAAAAGTTAATTATAAAAATACATTTTTTTTGTCATGTTTAGCATTATTTATTATAATCGTTGTATATAAATTATTTTTTTCTTTTTCTTATACTTTTACAATTTTTTTGACACACTAACTTTATTATTTACAGTCGCATACAATTCATTTTTAATTTATTTATCTCCGTCGTATTAATAATCTCATTTTGTACTTACATGTGTTTTTTATATTATGTTGTATTGTATTAAAAACTTGTATAAAATACGATTATCTTTTCCTTATAAAGTTGTTCTCATAAAAATGTTGGAACATTTAATTCCAGAATGTCTTATACTTGTCAATGAATAATCATGCAACATTGAGGTATTGTTTTAAGAAAATTTGTACCTGACGTTTTGCTACTCACTATATATTTAATTTATATATATATATATATATATATATATATATATATATATATATATATATAATTTAAAAATAAAACACAATTTTAAAAATATCTTTTAAGTAAAAAAAACAAATTTAACTGAAAAAGGTTAAAGTGAAAATTCAAGTTATTTAAATTAAATGTTAACGGAGGCAATAAATTATTGTCATTTCTTTGTATTAAAATGTGTTTAATGTTATTTTTTTTTATTATTATTATTATTAAATTTTATTGTTATTTTATAATATTATTATATGCATGCTGATGTATAAAATCGGTTATCTGCATTGCAATAACAAATTAATTAGTAAAGACGTAAACTTTCTTTTATTTTATTCTGTAGCCTTTCTTTTCTTGTACCTTGTCTTTAGAAGGAAACAGACAACGAATTGGTTGGTTGGTTTGAAAATAATTCTTGCACTAGACAATCTGTTCATTTTACAGTTCATATGCATTTAAAAATGTTGGAGGTGTTGTCGTGTCTCTGAAATTTCAATCTTAAATTCCAACTTTACATTTCAATCTTAAATTCCAACTTTACATATTTGTGGACCATTGCGTAGGTTATATCAATTAATTGTAGGTTTTTATTATCTTTTTAGGTATGTTTGGTAGCTGCTGAAGAAATATTGTTCCTTGTTTTACCTGTCCCACTCCTCCACTTATCAGCATTGAAGATACATAATATACGTACATTGGATAGCTCAAACAATTCATATATGAAGAAAAGAAAACAAATCAAATATTTTTTAAGAATGATTGAGAAGATATTATTAAAGTTGTCAATCAAAAAGGGTAAAGATGCTTATGGTCAGATTACTTAATTATTTCAATCAGAAATGTAACTTTTTGGCTTGGTTTATATTTGAGATGCAAACATTTTGTTTAAACTTTTATCATCAAATAATAACTTTTTCTAAAAAACCATTAATTTTTATATTTTTGTTAATTTTTTTAAAAGAAGTAATCAGAAGTTAAAAAGAATAAAAGTTCTAATTACAATAAAAAACTATTTAAAGCAGCTTCACATAAAATAATTTTTTTAATTGTAAACTCATTTTTGTATATCTCGAATAAGGTAATCACTAAATTATTTTAAACTAGGATATTGTTTTGAAACAAACTGATTATAGTAAAGTTCTTTATATAATATTTTATTTGTTTGTTTTAAATTCTTTTTATCTGCAATTCACATCTGACTCGAGCTAATGTAAACTGAGCTTCTTGAGTTTATTTAAAAGGATAAATTTCTTTTAATATTTATTTTTTCATTTATTGAATTCGAATCTCAATTTTAATATAAAGAGGTTACCTTGCTTGTCACTTGAACCGATAGAGACGGGTAATTTATGCAATTTTATTCTTCTTTTTGCGTTATTTATAATATTTTTATTGTATGCAAATACAAATTAACTAAAATAAAATCAACATATGCTATATATAAAAGAAATTAATACAAAAATATAGGTTAATTAAGTCTCTTATAAATTTAGATATTTTTAATTAAATTTTATTGTCTAATAAATACTTAAATTTTTTATATTTTTAACTATTTTTTTTTTTGCTTACCGTTTTTTGTAATTGAATAACATTTGTTATCTTATCCATAATTTTGCTCAATCATTTTTATATGTTAAAAAATATAAAATTTTATTATTAATACAAATAGTATTACGATTAATATAAAACAAGTAAAATATATTAGATAAATAATCACATTAATAATGGTGATAGAAACAATTCATTAGTAATTTTATATGATAATAAGAAAGTAATCTAAGAACAACCTTGCAATGAAAATCATAATATCATTTTATATTAACAACAAAAACATAAATTTTTTACTGCATGAAGACACATAAAATAATTATGAAATATAATAAGAATCACATAATTCAATTAACAAAAATATTAAATAACATTAACTCAAAAAAAATATAAAAGTTTTAATATTCATTAAACAAAAAAATAATAAGAAATTCTTAAATGAAAATACCTAAATTTATAAAAAAACTTAAAAAATAATTAAGCCAAAAACTTAATTTATCTATACAGTGATATATGGAATTATGCTCACGATATTTGCTGTTTTTTATTGTATAAATGAAATGGACAGAATAAATTATGTTATCAAAGCAGTTTGAAACTTGAAATAAATTCAAGGCATGATTATCAGTTCATGAAAAGGATAAATCAAGTTGGCGATATTAATGATAAAATATTCCTTTATAAATATTATTTTAAGACCTCTTGCAAAATGGACAGATCTTTTGCAATAAAGTTGGATTCATGCACCTTATCCGACCAAACTGCTTTGGTTTCTTCTGCGCACTAACCAATAAAATACCTCCAAAGACAGAATATCTCAATCATGGCCGTAAACCTAACCTTAAGCCATTATGGGAATAGTGTAGATAAAACAGGAACTAAATAGAAGGGTGGAGAAAATAATAAACGGATGTAAATGATTATGATCAGACCATTGACATTGCGAAAAAATATAACAAGTAAAATACAAACATAAAGCATTTGCCTTTTATCACTTTCTATTGAAGCAGTCAGTGAGAGGAAAACAAATAGTGAGAAGAGGTTATTTTTCATCCAATGACATGATAACTTTATTGTATAATCTTTAACATATGATTACAATGTAACTAACACGTCAAAGTTAATATGCAATTAACTCTCATGGACATCATAATTACAGGAGTTCAATCATCAGAAGAAAAGCTCAAAGCAGAGATAACCGACCCTGTTGTTGCAAACGTTGACGCAACGTCATGATAATCTTTCCATGAGGTTGTCACCTTCAGAGATGGGTACAGCCACGTTTTAACCGAATCCACAAACGAGTTTGGATCTAAGTTCAGAATGGCTTCCCAATCAACCTGTAAACCCTGTGGGATGCTTCCCGTGAACTCCATGTTCGCAGCAAGTAACAAGCCCAGCATAACGATAAATCCAACTGCAGCAGATCCCCTAGACAGTGGCATGAAGTTATACCTGAAAAGCAGTTCAATCATATTAAAAGAAACGATTTTCAACTGCAGAAAAATCAGAAGATAAATTACCCATTTTGAAAAAAAAAGAAAGAAAAAACATACCAGTAATATGTCATTCTTAAAATTGCATCTCGCACGTTTTCAAGCATGTCGAAATCAGTAGACCCGTAATTTTCACCACAGTAAGCTTTGCTGATAGTCTGACGCCAAGATGAGAACAAGGTAAATATTATAATTTCATCTAATAAGTTGATCCATATATAAAAACATATTTTCAGATGAAACTTGACAACAATGAAATATATGTTGGCTAACTTCAAAAGCTGAAAATGGTTAACGAAATATTAATGATGATTGAATGATACTTATGGGGATGAGATCATTGGTAAGGATGTCAGAAAAAAAAACATTTTATATACCACTGTCAGATAATTAATACACTAAAAGCTGTGTTTGGTATGAGGAACATACATCCCATGCCACTGCCATTTCTTCGTCAAAATCTTCCCATCTAGCAGGTGTACTAGGTGTTCTGATTGCAAAGTCGAAACCGTGCTCCCCCCTGCAAAACATGTTCAGTTTCCAAATAAACTCGAAGCGTTAAAATTAAAATTTTACAAGCTTCTGAATCAAGCTTACATTTTTACAACGGTTATCCTAGTCCCTTCAAGCTGCTTCCTGAAAAAACAATAACATCCAAAATGTAAATAAATGTCAAAGAAATTGTTTCCGCACAACAGTGTTACCACTGTGAACACATACCCTTCAACTGCAGTACTGTTGCACCAGGTAGCCAACCAAAAATCCTCACCAACAACTCTGTAAAGATCAGAGCATGATTTTGCATGCATAATCTGCATATCAAACATTAAAGTGTTTCAGAAAAGGATAGACTACGTAACATTATAAACAGAAAAACAAGTAACATCAGCTAGTAAAGTTTGATATCATTTAAACGAAAGAAAGAATAATCTAGAAGCATTTCTTTGTCCAAAATCTAACTGAGGAAAATAAGATCGTTGAACATTAATTATATTTTCTCCAAAATCCTTCGAATAATTTAACTTCTCCACAAGCTAAATAAAAAATTAGAGGAACTATATTGGAGTTTCAATAAATTAGTTTATGCATGTGTTAACTTTAGCTTATGGAGAAGCTAATTCAATTTTCCTTTATTTATCTCTCCTATAAGGAACTTCCGGAAAAGCTCGTCAATCAACCCTATGTGTCCATCTCACTTGATGCATAAGAAACACAGTCTATCATGCAACTTGGGAAGTTCAATTTTCTAAGGTAGACATTCAACCTATCTAATGATAAGGATGGTTTCTGTGAGCTATGGTACTTTGATTGCTATATGTGGCTGAGTGCATGAAAAAACCGGGTCCAATGAGAATGTAATATATAAAGAATAAATCATGCATATCCCACAAGTAACTTCAGTATACCACCGATCCAAATAAGCGAATAAGAGGCCTACTGCTGACATCAACAAAACTACAATATTTCCAAAGCTACACCTTGTGGGGCTAAAAGTCAATGAGGAGGCCTATTGCATAGTAAGCAATGTTAAAGGAAAGAGGTGCAACATATTTAAATCAACAATCAACAATCAACAACTGACCTCTTCTAATTTCCCAGCTTCGGAAAGATGAATGATCTTATCTGTTTTGCTTCGGACATATGTTCTCTCTTTAATCACAGTCTTAGCAATTTCTAATGTTCTGTAACATTAAAAGCAATAACCATTTTCAAAGTTAGCCTACTACAAACACAACCAAGCCTCTTTCCCACGAATAAATCAATAAAAACGGGAGAAAGGTTTCACCTTTCATAATTGGGGAAGTAACGGACAACTTTGGCTTGCCCAAGAATCATGGGCGTGTGAGAACCAAATCCAGCAGCAAACTCGTCACTGCAGTGCAAAACAAAAAATTCAAATCCAACACAAGTTTGAAGTCCAACTCTGAAATAATAATCCGAGGGAAAACCAAGCACATTAACCAATAGAGTGATATGTCAAAATAAATAAGAAAAGGACTGTTATTTCATAGCGGTTTGGTAGCTTCCTATAAATACAGGACTGTTGTATTTTAGGAAAAATGTATACAGACTGAAATGATAATCAAGTGCCTGCACAGTTTCTCTGATCCTTGTTTCTCTGTGTCCTCTCTATTCTGTCCTTTTTCTCTTTCAACTTCTTTCTTTCTGTCTTTCTATTCCTTTCTCTTACCACCTAAATTCTACATCATAGTGTGATTCGGCTGGCAATTTTTTGCCTTTATCCAACCTAGACCAATATAATTCTGAGCTTACTGTTACAAATAAAGGGAAGTATATACTTCATAATAAAAGAACATGACCTCTTAGATTGCAAAATTTGAATACATGTAAAATCAATCTTAGGAAAGCAATTGCACAAGTGAAAGTACTTAAAGTTTAAAGTGATATGAAGGCTGAATATACATTAGACACTCTAATTCCACTCAAAATTCATTTAGAGTAAAATTTTAGTAATATAAGTTTTAAAGGTAAGGGCATTTCTATCTCTTTTTTACGGTCCTTAATGGAATAATAAAATGATCCAGTTTTTGTAAAAGTCTAAGCAAAAAACATAAGCTTAGAGCAAACAAAAATTCCATGGCATCTATCTATCTATCTATCTCTCAAACTGTTAAAATAATATTTTACCTCTGTTGTTCAGCTTCTATAGAACTATTTTTTTATGTATCTCGAAGGGTCATGGTTGTACCCTATTCTCTCTATTTTATATATGTACTTCTAAATATTTATAATACATACATTAGTGAGATGTACTCTCACCAAGAATTTCTCACAAAATCTTAAGTTGGCACCGGAGTACGAACAAATGCGCTTTAGTCCCATCAAAGTTTGTATTCACCCACTGTGTTTCTTCACAACAATCTGTCGTCTGCCAATGGCTGGCTACCATTGTTTCAACTGTGGTCGCTGGTCCATTGTGAACCCATGTGTGCTCACACACCCCTCCACCCTGCTCCCTTTAGCAAATGCAGTCCATGCACCAGCTGTTTGTCGGAACACCATCACACCACCACCTAGGTATTGTTGGAGGTTTTCCGATCTATTCCAGGTCCTATTTTTCTCTTCTGTAGATGGGAGCCCCCCTTTTTCACCTCTGTCTAGGTCTCTTACTGTGGTCTTGCTTTCTTCTTCTTAGTTTGAGTTCTATGGTATCTCCAGGTCCCGTTCTTTCTGTTTCTAAAACTCTGAACTATTAATATGGAGAAGCACAATGGCAAAAACTATCTATCATGACTTCCTCTGTGGAACCTTGGTTCCTAGTCCAAAGTTACAATGATCATTTAGAAAAGGAAGATGTTGAAGGATCAACATAAATTCGTGCTTAGTAAAAGAAACTTGATTTTCGGTCATGCTTGTCCTGTGGCAGTTTGTAGAACCCAACGTGTGTGGGAATTCCTAGAACCTTTAAAACTCCTTGTTTTTGGAAGATTCAAAGCATCTATGCCAATAACATTTAATGTTTGTATGATGTCCAAAAATTAGCTTCTCTCAAACAAACCAGTCAGCTTGATTACCAAACTTCTTCAGATTCCCACAAAGGTAAAAATTGAAAATTCAACTGGGAGAGTCAAGGTTTTTGCGATGGTGTCTACTAGAGGAAGAGAGTGTAGAAGTGGTCAGCCTTAGTGCACATACTGCAAGAAGATGGGTCACATCCAAGAAAATTGTTACTAGGGTTCCAAAAGATGAATTGTCAAGAGTATCTTCAAGGAAAGCCACAAGTCAAGTGTATTATTCATTATTTTACTAAGTTCCTAGTGTTTCAACATGTGTTTCTCAATCCATTGCTAATCAAAATCCATGGATTGTTGACTCGGGTGCCTTTGTTCATGTAGCTAGTAATAATTCTCTATTTTTCTGTTTTCTTCAAAGTTCCCATTCAACTGGATTCAAAAATTGCTACCCAAGGAATTGATCAAGTTTCTCTTTTTCTTTCATTGAATCTACATTTTGTTTTATTTATCCCTAATTGTCCCTTGAATTTTATCTGAGTCAATTGTAAGACCTTAAAATGCTTAGCAACATTCAGTGTTGTATCTTGTCATTTAGCAATGTGGTACATGTCAAATGATTGGTGGGGGCCTTGAATCTCGGGGACCACTACTGTTTTGAAATGCAGTCATTTGTATCTTTAGTTGTTCTTTCGTCTCCAAAGTTAGTTCATGATCAATTGGGTCATCAAAGTTTGTCCAAATTGAAACTCTTGTTTCCACGTCTCAAAAAATTGAAATGTTAGATTCGGAATCATGCTTGTTAAGCAAACATGTTAGGTCATCTTTTCCCAAGCAAACCAAAAAAGGACGTAACTTGGTTTTTAATACCATTCACATATTTGGAATCCAAGCTGTGTAACATTCTTTTGTTTAAGATATCATATTTATTGATGAATTTTCTAAATGTACTTATGTATAATGCAAGATAGATTTGAACTTCAGTCTATTTTTTTGTCATTTTTCAATGAAATCAACAACTGGTTAGTGAAGATGATTAAAATTTCTAGACGAGATAATACTAAATAATGCTTCTCCTCGAAACTTTCTTCCTTCCTATCTTCACAGGGTATCTAACATTAATTCACATGTCCTCACAATCCAAATGGAATAGCAGAAAAGAAGAAATAAACATTTATTGGAAATTGCACACAGCTTAATGCTTAATGCAAATCTTCATTGGGATGTAATAATCACTGCTTGTTTTCTAATAAATATGATGTCATCTTTTGCTCCTAAAATTATAATATTAATTTCATGTTCCTCTTCGAGACTTTGGGTGCACTTGTTTTGTTCATGATGTTTTTGCATTTCCTTGGATACCCTTGTCTATGGAAAGGATATAAATATTATTCTCCAAAGAATAAAAAGCTACATGTTATCTATTGTACAAGATACTACTTATTCTCCCATAAATAGTCCAACAGTATCAAAAGAGTCACTTGATTCATGTCCTTCACAAAACGATGTCCTACAGATGATAATTCAAGCTAGTCCACTACACTTAGGAAAAGTGTTCTCTCTAATAAAAACCTTCATCCCATTTACAACAATATGAACAATCAGTGTTTATTTCCTATGCATTTCTCCTTCTTTCCCTTTATATCTTTATTTATTATTCCATCGACTGCGTCCATTGTTGCGACGAGCCTGTTGCCGACGACACCATTCCATTTTTCTTCTACTAAGCCCCAAATCGGGATCCACGTGTAGCCTCCACTGAAGACAACACTACGCCGCTCAGGACTTCAGACGCGACTATGCCAGTCCTCCACCATGTCACTGACATTTTTCCCCTCTACAGCACCACCGCCATTTCCGCTGCGATTGGAGGTGGCCACTAGCCATTGGCACTCTTATTTTGCCCTCTGTGTGATTTTACTCTTTGATCATATTAACATGTCTTTTGGTGTTCTTTTTTTCAAAGTAGGTTGATTTTTGCGAGAAAAATTTGATCTTTTCCAAATGGGCACGGATGAAAGCGACAACATAGCACCGGGTTTATCTCCTGTGCAAGAAAGTGGAAGCGTGGTTCGAGGTTCAGAGCAAGTGAAGGAGGTTGGGGAAGATGTTGGGGTTTGAGAAGTGAGGAGGGGTGCGGTGGGGGTGGGGTTGATGTGAATGGGGATGGGTTTTCTAGCATTAAAAACCAATGTTTGGGTGATGAAGGGGCTGTTAACGTTGTCAATAATAGTATTGTATTAGAGGTCAAGGTTTCGGTTGAGTGGAAACGATTGTCAAGTTTTGGCTGATTTTGAGGTGAATGGGATGTCCTCTTGGTTGGGAATGCAAGAAAGTGATATGAGCACTGTGTTTTCTAGTGATGGAATGGAACTGAGATGTTGGACTATGATTATGTATTTGTTTGTGTTTGTGTTTGTGAAAAATCATGGTGAAAAAGACAACGATGATTGATGCCCACGGAGAATAATAAAGGAGAAATGGAAAATGGAATATGAAGTTGTGATGATGAAGACGAAGATTGGTTGTGTATGATGTTGGAGGGGAGTTGGAATGGTGATGGTGAAGAGGAATTTTTGGAAAGAAATAATGGAGATGGAAATCTAATAGAATCTTTCTAGTTTTGCTAGATTTTTTTGTTGTAATTCTTTTTAGAGATGAAATAATTATTTTCATTTTTCAGTTTCTGGTGAATGAGAGAGAAGAGAGAGAAACATATGGACACAGAGAAGCAGAGGAGAGAGAAAAAAAGTTGTTGACTTTTTTGCCATGTCAGCACATAATTAACTCTGTTTGTTTTTATTTAACGAAAGAGACTTTGTTAACGCAAAATTTACCGGATTCTTTTCAAAGGTTGGACCTAATTGACACACTTGAACAAAACTGGGGACAAAATAAGCAATTAAGCCTTTGGCAAAAATAAAACATAGAAGTTAGTATGAAGTGGTTAGGGGTAGTTACACTTAAGATTGAAAAGAAATAATTCTTGAGGGCTTAATTGAT